GAGGTAGAAAGGGAGAACTTCACTCCCACTAAGAAAGAAAAACCTGGAATAGAGAATGTCCTCTGAGTCTGGGGCCCCTGTGCTGAGAACCTCCCAGAACCAGACCCTGTAAGAGAAGTGATGGTGGGAAGCAAGGGCAGAGGCCAGTGAAGCAGAACCAGGAGATCATCAGGTGCTGAACCTGGAGGCCAGCAGTGGGCTTGCTGGGTCCTGGTAACAAGAGAGCTGAGTGAAGAGCCTCAGACGCGTCCTGGTGGAATGGATAACACTGGGCATTTAATAAGAGCAGAGCTGAGAACTTTATAACACTTGCCCAAGCCATATGGAGCCAGACCAAGAGGGCCAAGGGCAGAGGGCAGAAGGGGCTGAGGATCAGAGGGAGGTGTGTCTTCAGCTGCTGCAGATGCAGAGGAGAAGGCTGGACTGATTGAGGAAACATATCCTGAGTCATTCCTGATCCTGAATTGTAACCTGCCACTTCTCTAACAAACCCACCATCATAAATACGGCGTATGAGTTCTCTTTGGCCATTGTAGCAAATTATCAGACTCAGAAGGAAAGCAGAGTGCTGTAGGAAAGACAGCTGGTGTTTGAATTGGTTAAAAGGTTTGACAGACGAAGTATGTCTGATCTCCATCTCCCTTAGGAACCAGCATGGAACCATTTATGCTATGGGGACTCTTTCTCCTACATGTGATGTAGAGGCCAGACACCTTAGCATGTCATTTTTTTACAAGTATCTTCTAACATAGGAAGAAAAACAAAACTGGGAACACAGAAGGTTAAATTTCAAGTGTGAGGATGACAGGCATTTTGAGATGAGTAAGACTCTAGCCGTGGATGTTGCTGTTTGCCATTGAGTCAACTGTGACTCATCAGACTCATGGAGACCCTGAAGGACAGGGTACAACAGCCCCACAGGGTTTCCGAGGCTGTAATCTTTATAGAAGCAGGGTACCCACCACCTCTTTCTCCTTTGGAACAGATGGTGGGTTCGAACTACCAACCTTTTGGGAAGAAAGTGAATGAAAGCTGGTGGAGCATCAACTCCAACAAGGAGTAAAAAGAATTCAAGAGAACGAGAGTTGTGAAAAAATTAGAGAATGAAAAAAAATTTAAAAAATGAAAAAAAATTAGAGAATGAACCAATTATCTAAATATTGGAACAAAATCTTTGCAGTGAACCTCCAGTTTTAAAAAAAGCCTAGAGTAACAGAGAGAAACATTGTATTATGGATAGGAAAAGAAATTAAATCCTCTTTAAGTGAATCCACTCATTCATTAATTTCAAGCTTAATCCTTAAAGGTTTTTCTTTTTCATGGAACTTGGAAAACTGCTAAAATTCATTCAGAAGAGAAAATGTGCAAGAATACAGATTTGAAAATCAGCTCAGGCAGGGGACAGGGAAGATTTCTTTATATGTTATCAAAACAAATCAAGGCAAAAGGGTGAACTAGGTAGGGATACAAAGAGTTCAATGGATGCACACCCATGTTTATTGCGGCTTTGTTCACAATAGCAAAGAGTTTGAAACAACCCAAGTTCCCATCAACAAAGGAATGGATATAGAGAAGCTGTGGTATATTCACACAATGGAATACTATGCTGCATTGAAAAACAAGAAGCTCATACAATATTATTCAAAATGGGTGACCCTGGAGGACTTTATGCTGAGTGAAATATCTCAGTCACAAAAGGGCAAATACTGCATTGTGCCACTGTTGTAAAATAGAACTTGATGTAGTGGCTGCGGGGGGAGACTGAGAAAGATGGAATAAATTATGTATACTGCATTGAAACAGATGAGAGAGAGAACTGTTTAAAAGGTATATATGATTAGGTATTATTGTCATGACAGGAGTCCAGAGTGAAGACTGAATAGTGGAGTGGACTTGGGGGGGAGGGATTGTATAACAATAAAAGAATTTTTCTTTTACTTTTCAAAGAGAAGAACAAAGTGGAGGAGAGGGGTGGGCAGGGAGAAAAGTGCAACAGTGAATGAGTGGAAATCCAAAATCTCTGTAAATTTTCACTAAAATTACTAATATTAATAATAATAAAAGGGGGGAAAAGAATTCAATGGAATATGATAGTCATACCAGGCATATTCCAGTTTATATATAGGAATTTGGTACATGATGTTGTTGTTGTTGTTACGTGCCGTCAAGTCCCCTGAGACTCATAGTGACCCTGTGTACAACAGCTCTAAACCCTGCTCTATCCTTTGCCAATTTTATTTTTTCTGACACACCTACCCCCATTACCTCAGTCACTGACTCAATACATCTCATCCAGGGTACATGATAACTGTAGAATATGAAAACAGTGGGGGAAAGATTTTGGTTTTGTTTTTTAAATAACTAGTGTTGGGACACTATTGGTTACATCTTCCATGAATTCATGCTTCGGTGACTTTCAAAATAAATCTCATTTGGATTTAAAACACACATATAATCAAAACTAGGAGAACATGAAAAACAAACTGTAGGTCTGTATTTATGACGTTGGAGTATAAAAAGAATTTTCTTAAAAAAAGAAATAATATTTTATTGTGTTTTCAGTGAGTTAACACAATTGGACTCTTCTTTTATGCAGTTTCTACAATAATAACAATCCAACACCTTTAGTTATATTTTACACAATGTACTCACATTGTCTTTACTTTTTTCCATTTTCTTTTCCATCTCTTTCTCTTTAATTGTATAACAGTGCTCTAGTCTCTCAATCCCTCTAATTTTTTATCTTTGCTTTAAAGTCATTCCAACAAGAGAATTCTGCTGGCATACTTAGTGCCTTGCATGTTTGGCTGGTAAGTGGAAGGTTAGCAATTCGAGTCCACTGTTTATATGGAAGGAGAAAGATGAGCAGTAGTAGTCTTGGAAACCTGATGGAGGGTCCCTGTGAGCTGGAATTGGCTGACACTTGATTTTAATAGGAGCTCATGAGAAGCATAATGGGGGCAAGGATTCTGAGGCTTTGTCTGACATACTTTTGGGCATGTTACAAGGAGGGACCAGTCCTTGGAAAAGGACATCATGCTTGGAAGGGTGGAGAGACAGAGTAAGAGAGGAAGACCATTGATAAGGCGGATTGATTCAGTGACTGGGGTAATGAGGGTAGGTGTGTCAGAGACAATAAAGTTGGCCAAGTATAGAGCAGGTTTCAGGACTATTGTACATAGGGACGCTACGATTTGCAAGTGACTCGACGACACATAACAACAACAGCAACATGAGAAGGATTTCTGATGGTGCTGTGATTATTTGACTGTTAATCAAAAAGTCAGTGATTGGAACCCACAGAGTGGTGAGGCAGTCAGCTTCTGGAAAGAATTATAACCTTGGAAACCCTGAAGGGTAGTTCTACTCTGTCGTGAAAGGTCCCCATGAGTGGGAATTGACCTAATGAGAATGGGTAGGGGACTCATCTTGTGAGATTTTTTATAAAGGTGACCCCAGAAATCAAGGTTTAAAGAATACCTCAGGGTGATAATTTGACAGAATCCTCTAGTTTCAAATGTGGCCCTTGATGGCCTCTTAAACACACCCAAATAGACACTGAGAACTTCCCTGGGACCAAAGCCAAATAAAACTAGAAACAGGAAGTATAAATGAGGAGAAATTATTTGCTACAGTTATAAATGTAACTGACTAAGAATTGGAATCCGGAATCCATAAAGTACCCTGGCAAATTAATAGCCATAAAAGAACAGGAGAGGGGGGGAAAGGAACACAACCTCATTTAAAAATTGGGCAAAAGGAAATGAGCAAGCAGTACACAGAAGATAAAATAGAAGACCAATATAATTCGTAAAAAGATGTTCCCTCTCCTTACTAATCAGTTACAAGCCAGAACAACGTGATTACTATTCCTTGCAGGAAATGACTAATACTAAGTCATCAACCAGGTCACTGCTCAAATGTCCTTTCGTCCAGGGCTCTCCTTCTGATCCCTGGCTTGGTCAAGGGCTCTCTAGGGGGGCTCCCCTACCCCAGCCTCTGCCCACTCTGGGTTGTCATTATTTGGGAATATGTCTGTCTGTCCCACTGGGCCGTGAGCCCCTGGAGGACAACTTGTAGTTAGTCACCCCTGTGTTGCTACCACACACACACACCCTCCGCACACCGGAAACACTGGGGGAAATATGTGGGGGAATAAATGAATGAATGGAGAAACTGAGGCCAAGGCAGTGGCATAGCCGGAATTCAAACTCTCAACGCCTCTCTGTACTGAGAGAAGAGATCGAGTTTGTTCTCCCACCATCTCTGTTCCCCTGAAGCCAGCGTGTCATCGGGGCATACAAAAGGCGCTCAATAACTGCGTGGAAATAGCTTGGCTGTCAGACACTGTGAGGCTCTCAAACTTGCGCGGTCCTCCAGGACCATAGAGAGCTGCGTAGGGACCGCCCCTGTTGCAGCGCAGCTCCTCTGGGGAGCAGTGAGTGTAGGTTCGAGGGCCAGAGAGGCCGGAAGTGTGGTGAGTGCGGGGCCGCGCTGGCCGCCCCGGCGGTGAGACGCGTCGGTTGCCCTCTGGGTTTTTTCCCGTCGGTGGTTTCGGGACAGAGGTGAGTCCTCGCCGAGGGCTCTGCGAGCAAGTGGGGAGGGGATTTTGGGGGGCTGGCTAGGAGGAGCCTCTGGATTGATGGCCACCGCGGCCAATCGCCACACTAGCTGTGAAATAGACATGACTGGGCGTGGGGAAGGCGTCCTGCTGGGGCGCCCCGGGGCAGGCAGGGCCTAACGGGTATTGGGGAGAGGGGCCGATCGAATGCAAATCGGGGGACAGTTGAGTGTGAATAGAGCTCACAGAACCCGGGGGCTGGATAAATGGGACGCATGGACCTCTAAGGGGCGGGGCGAGCAGAAGGTGAGACTTGATGAGCTGGGCGGACTTTGATGCACTGGGACCCTGAGAATTTTTGAAGGGTGGGAAATCGCTGTGAGTGGGGACCCCCTATGAAGGAGTGGGGGTTGCAGATGGATACAGAGGGCTCAATTCTCTTTCGCCTACACACGTCTTCTCTCTCAGGCCCCAGATGGACCCTGGGAAAGATGAGAAGGGGGTGCCGCAGCCCCCAGGGCTGCCCTCAAGGAAGAAATTCGTCATACCACTGGACGACGATGAAGTCCCTCCTCCAGGGGTAGGACACGATGCGGGGACCACCGGGACGCAGATGGGAGGCCAGGGGGCCGGATGAGCTCAGTGGAACCCCACGGGGCGTTAGATGATGGGACACACAATCTTTTGCCCTCTGCACGCCTCAGTTTCCTGATCTGTAAAATGGCACAGTGGGTGTAAAACAGGGCTGAGCCCAAGGCCACACAGGCAGCCAGTAGGGGAGCAGCGCTGTGAGGTTGCTCACAATTGAGAACTGGACGGTTTTGCAGTTTAAAGAGACATTATTGCCACCTTTCTTCAAGTAAATGGAAGACTCTGACTGCATTGGAAAGACTCTCACTGCTTCAGGAAAATGACCTGCTGGAGCTGGATTTGGGCAGCTACCTCTAGGACAATGAGAAAACCATTGAGACTAAAAATGGAGATACAAGTAAAAAACCCAAACCCGTTTTCCTCTGGTTAATCCTGACTCAGCAATCCAGAGTAGTTGGTCCATGTTGTCCAACCACTCCTGCTGTCGACTCCTATGAACAGTAGATCCGAGTCTTGCCCTCTCCTGTCCCATCCCAGCAGTCTGATAGCCTACAGCCCATTTTCACAGGGGAGGGCCTTTCTCTCTTTCTCTGGCCTTCAGCCTTTCCCAGCGTGATGTCTTTTCCAAGGACTGATCCTTCCTGACAACATGCCCAAAGTATGTGAGGTGAAGTTTTACCAGCCCTGCCTCTAGGGTTGTACTTCCTCCAAACAACTCAGTTTGTTGTTAATGTTGTTAAGTGTCGTGGACTGTGACTCATAGTGACCCTATGAGCGATGACTCGAGCCCTATCCTGAGTCAACCTCACCATCTGCAATGCACTTGACCCCATTGCTACAGTCACTGTGTCAATCCATCAACTTGAGGGTCTTTCTTGTGCTGGCCCTCCACCTTTCCAAGACTGGCCTCTTCTGACAACATGCCCAAAATTATGTGAGACAGAGTTTTCCCATCCTTACCTTAGAGGCAAAGATTCGGAAGCGTCGTCTGACATACTTTGGACATGTTGTAAGGAGGGACCAGTCCTTGGAGAGGGACATCATACTTGAGAGGGTGGAGGGACAGCACAAGAGAGGAAGACCCTCGATGAGATGGATCAATTCAGTGACTGGGGTAATGGGGGGTAGATGTGTCAGAGACGGTAAGATTGGCACGGGATAGAGCAGGGTTTAGGGCTGTTGTACACAGAGTCGCTTTGAGTCACAGGCAACTTGACCACAACTGCCACCACTTCCAAGAAGCACCCGGGTTTCTTTCTCCAGAACAGATCTGTTTGTTCTCTTGGCAATCCATGTCCAGTACTAGCCATGAAAAGACTACAACTTGGATCAGGCGCCCCTTAGGACAAAGTCAAACTGCTCCTAGAGTTTCCGAGGCTGTAGATCCTTATGGGAACAGATTGCCTCATCTTCTTCCTATGAAGAAGTTGGTGGGTTTGAAGCACTGACCTTTTGGTTTGCAGGCGAGTGTTTAACCACTGTGCCACCAAGGCTCCTAGAGTAAACAAAGGACAAATGGTAGGAGAAGAGGTCCCAGAAGCAGTGGGGCAAGATAGGTGTTCTGGAACCTCCTCTGGCTTTTACCAAAGTGTGAGTCTTTGGTGAGGGGTCTTAGGCTTTGAGCTGAGGGACAAGTTATAACTTAATGCTAATAGGGTCCCTTTGACTGTATGTGGGGGACAGCACACTGGAGATGCGAGCTTGGTAAGGGGGGTGACTGCAGGGGTCCTTTTGAGAGGTGATGGTGGCTGTGATAAATTGGAGGCCAAAAAGGTGGGAAGAAGTGTTTGGATGAAATCTGAGGTTCCTAGCTCAGAAAGGTACATGGAGAGATGGTAGGTGGGGTCACCAGTGAACGGAGAGGAACTCACACGTTTCTTCCACAGGCTCTAAACAACCCCTCACACGCCTCCTGTCCCCACAGGCTAAGCCCTTATTCAAATCCACCCGGAACCTTCCCACTGTGGAGCCCTCAGCCCAGGCGACCCCTCAGACGTATGCCGAGTATGTCATCTCAGGGCCTCCAGGCGGGGCTCCATCCACACACCGCACAGGGCCAGAGCCCCCTGCAGGAGAGACCCCCAACCCGGCCCTGAAACCTGGGGCAAAATCCAACAGCATCATTGTAAGCCCTCGACAGGTGAGGCCGGGGACGGTGAGGTGGGACTTTGAGGATTCTGGATACAGATGGTGGAGGGAGGAATGAATGGGGTGCCATTCAGGGCTCCTTGTTTGCACAGAAACCATATTGAAAATCAAGGCACTCTGGTGGTGCAGTGAATTATATGTTGGTCCCTGAAAGGTTACTGGTTCGAATCCACCAGCCACTCCATAGGAGAAAGACGAACCCTTTCTTCTTGTAGAGTTATAGTCTCAGAAGCCCAGAAGAGCATCACCATGAGTTAAAATCAGCTTGACAGAGATGCGTTTGTGGTTTCATATTAAAAACAATCCCATTATATTGTTTACGTGGATGACGTGTATAGTATCAACTCAATCTCAATAAAACTGTTACTGCCCCCACCACCAAGTTTTTGAATGAATATTTCTTGAATGACACAGCAACCTTTTGTCTCTTTGCTGAACTGAACAACTTGGTGTTGCTGTGATGCTGCACACTGTTCCATAGTCTTGTCAAATATCATAATGGTTACCCATTCTGTACAGTGTTCGGGTGAGCTTCCAGATTGATTCATGCTGGGAAGCAGGAGCGGCATCCACTTCCTAAACGAGATGCCTCTCTAAACTCTAAACTCTATAAATGTACAGAGATGATGGTAGTTAAAGAACAGAGTTCTGGATAGAAATCATGTTAGTCATAGAACAGAGTTTAGGTCTTTTGTGCAAAACTTACTCTCAGTCTTATTCGACTTGACGACACTTAACCACTGCTAAGTGAAAATAGTGCTGTTCTATCTGGAGGAACACTCTTCCACTTTGAACACCACTCTTTGTCAATGTGCAGTATGAAGTAACCTTGTTTTGCTGTGATGCTAAACCTTTGTGCCATTGGGGTATCAAATACCAGAATGGTTTCCCATTGTGGACAGTGTTTGGTGGAGCTCCCAGTTGTAAAACAGGTTGGGAAGCAGGAGTAGCATCCACTTCCTAAACCACATGCCTCTGGAAAGTCTATGAACTTGGAGAAATGACGATAGTTATGGAAAGGCATTAGGTCTTTTGTTCATAGACTTGCTATGAGTTGCACTTGACTCGATGGCAATCAACAACAACAACAACCCCCACCCCCACAGTAGGGAGTTCTGGTGGCCTAGTGGGTAGCGACTGGCGTTGCCAACCCAAAGGCACGCAGTTTGCAAACACCAGCTGCTCTTCAGGAGAAAGATGCAATGTCTCCTGTACGTCACAGCCTCTGGCTTCAAAGCCCTGGAGGGTCAGCTCCTGGTCAGTCCTCACTCAGTGGCACTTAACGGCCACCCACCCCCCAGCCCACCTCACAGGGTCACTGTGGACACTAAATCATTCTCAGACCCCAGACCACACCAGGCTCAACTGGCAGAAACCCAAGCTCTTTATTGTGGAGTTGGCTCAGCCACCCTCTGAGGGTTAGAATGGAACCATGCTCTGTGAGCTTTACAGTGGCTGGGTTTTTTTTTTCTAGGTAGTGGGTTTTTTTTTAAAATTTTTTTTTTAATTTTTATTATTTTTGTGTTAGTGTACCGTCAAATCAGATCTGACTGGTACAGGAGGAGATTGTCCCTCCGTCCCCGGCAGAGCATCTGGTGGATTCGAACCGTGCGCCTCTGGGATTGTAGTTGCAGCTCCTTACCACTAGGCCACCAGAGCTCCCCTAGTGGCTGGTTTTTAAAAGTGAGTGCCAGGCCTTTCCTCCGCAAGACATGTGAGGAGACTAGAAATGCTAACCTTTCAGTTAATGTCCAAGCTTGTTAACACTACCCAGGACTACGTTTTAGCATCTGCGGGCAGGCAGGCCTTGGAGGTCCCTGGCTACAGATGGACCTGCCCTGCATTTCTCTCTTCTTACTGGATCTTCCCCATGTACGTACATGCACTGCACGCCTGTCTCTCTCGCTCTCTTTTTTTTTTAAACACATTTAATATTTAATGAAATTGTTAGTTGCGAGTACCCATTTTAAAAATTCATTTCCGACTTTGATGAGACCTTCCAATTTCCCCACGCTTCTTCCGCAGCTCAGTCTCCGACTCCGTCTTCATTATTTGCGGCAAAGGAGTATGACCCTTGCTCGTTGGTGCTGGGAGGTGAAGAAACACCCGTGTCTCCTTTTTTAAAAAAAATTATTATTATTTTTTTGTGTGTGTGTGTGTGTACCATCAAATTGGATCTGACTGGAACAGGAGGAGATTGCCCCTCCTTCCCCAGCACAGCATCTGGTGAATTCGAACCACGCACCTCTGGGATTGCAGTGCAACTTCTTGTCACTAGGCCACCAGAGCTCCTTAAAGAAATGCCCGTGTCTTTATAACTCAGAAATGATTAGGTCTGAACCCACCTTGGACTAGAATGACCTCATTAATGTAACACACATACACACGCACACATTCTAACAGGGTCATGAGCAAGAGGCAGGATTTCAACTTAGTATTTTTTCAGAGGGGTAGAGACACAGTTCAATCGGTGTGAGGGCTGACTGGGGACAGACCTGGCCTTTTAATAAAACCCTGGAGTTGGAGAAGGGTCTTAGGCTGGGCACAGTGCGTGCTGAACAGAAGAGGTCTTGGGACGGAAGACCCCTGTGTGGGTGGGGAGGGGGACAGAGAAGTGTGCTGCGTGTTGGGGTGGGGGCCCTGGGGACCAGGTCGGTGAACAGCCTCTGCCCTTCTTCTCTTCTCTCCCCAGAGGGGCAACCCGGTGCTGAAGTTCGTGCGCAACGTGCCCTGGGAATTTGGGGATGTGCTCCCAGACTACGTGCTGGGCCAGAGCACCTGTGCCCTCTTCCTCAGGTGAGCTCAGGGGGCCCTTACCACTCAGGAAGGACTTTGGGCCAGGTTTGGGGGTTCCACAGGCTATTCCACAGGAGAGCTCCTGCCAGCTTTGGGCCTAGGGGTGTGCTGTTGGGAAGAAGGGGCCTTAGAGGTGCCTGGATCCATAGGGCTGAGGTGGACCCCTGGGCCTGAGGGAGGAGGGGCCTGGGGCCTGGACTTCCGGGTCTGAAGGAGGTGTTTGGGGGCCTGGACTCCCAGGTCTGAGGAAAGAGGGGACTGGAGGCCTGGACTCCCGGGTCTGAGGGAGGCAGGAGCTGGGGGCCTGGACTCCCGGGTCTGAGGGAGGCAGGGGCCAGGTGACTCATTTGCTAGACATCCCAGGCTGAAGTCAGAAAATCAGGAGTTTTCCCGCTTCACCCCTGAGGTAAACAAGTCATGAGAGAGGCAAAGTGACACTCTGCAGTTCCGGCCCTCCCTCAGGGTGAGAGAGCTGGGGGCTTCTGGGCTGAGATGACCTCGAGTTGCCCAGGTGGAGGAGGTACCCTCCTGCTCCTCATCTGAGCCCTCTGAGGCCATGGACTGGCCAGGCCCTGCTCTGCTAGACTAACTGGCTCTACAGGACCCCCCAGTCCTCACTCTCTGGGGAACCATCACATCTCTTCTGCTCCTCTGTGAGAACCCAGGGGTCCAACCACCAGGGAACCAGGCCACTCTGGGTTCACATCCCCACTGTGCCACTTCCCATGGCCAGTCACTTAATCTCTGTCCGCCTTGGATCCAAGCCATTGTCTCGCCTTAGCCGTGCTCCTGGCTGCTGGCACCTGAGCCATTCCAGTCCCATGGAGAGTGGAGAAGGGTGTCAGGGTCCGGAGGAGACTGAGACCTCATTTCTCCCTCTGCCCCATCCCTGCAGCCTCCGCTACCACAACCTGCACCCCAAGTACATCCACGAGCGGCTGCAGGGCCTGGGGAAGAACTTCGCGCTGCGGGTCCTGCTCGTCCAGGTGGACGTGGTAAGCAGGGGTTGCTCCCCAGCGGGCCTCACCATTCCCATCTGTGAAATGGGGAGTCTGGAGCATGCACGTGGCAAAGTGGATGAAGTTGTTGGTTAGGGGCTCCAGCTCATGGATGCAGAGCAGGACACTGCCCGGCCCCATGCCGCCGTTATGATCATTTCTCTGCTTAACTCCATCTACATCCACAATTTGGAGGAAGGGGCATTAGTGGCACACTGATTAAGCATTTGATTGCTGACTGGAAGGTTAGTGGTTCAAACCCACTAGCTGCTCTGCAGGAGGTAAAAATGTAGCAGTCGGGTGCCGTAAAGATTATTGGAAGCTCTCTGTGGCAGTTCTCCGTCTTCTACCAAACTGCCAAGGAGTCAAGAGCAACTCAGACCCTCCACTGGCATAAACATCTTCTGAATCTGTTTTGTTTCTGTCCCCACAGCCACTGCCCCCTCCAGCCCCCACCTCTCCTGTCTGGGCTCCCCAGCTCCTCCTCCCTGGTCTTCCAGCCTCCAGGCTCAACTCCACCTATCCCTCCAAGATTCCCCTGCTCCGAAACCTTGTGTGCTTCCCTCGTGCCCCCAGGAAGGTGTACAGTGGTTAAAGCATTGGTCTGCTAGCCAAAAGGCTGGCAGTTTAAACCCAGCAGCTTCTTCTGCTACTGCATGAGGGAAAAATGAAGCTGTTGGCGTGCAGCAAGACGACAGTCTTGGAAGCGCGATGGGGCTGTTCTCCCGCAGGATGGCGCTGGCAGAGTACACTCCCGGGCGGGGTTGGCTGCCCTCACCGCTTCCGCAGCCCTGACCTGGCCCCACCCGCGCCCAACTCTTCAGGCTCATCTCTCAGCTTCCATGTGATCACGGAAGGAGCTCTGGTAGCCTAGTGGGTAGGGAGTTGTGCTGCCAACCCAAAAGCAGGCAGTTTGAATCCACCAGCTGGAGGGTCAGCTGTTAGTTGGTTCCAACTCGGAGGCCATGAGATAGAGGAGGAAAGAGAGATCCCATACGGGGAGTCTCTTAACTGGCAGCCAAAAAGGTGGACAGTTCAAACCTACCCAGAAGTACCCTGGAAGAAAGGCCTGGCAATCTGCTGCCGAAAGGTCACAGCCTTGATTACCCCGTGGAGCAGTCCTGTTCTGCCCGCGTGGGGTTGTCATGGGCTGGAATTGACTGCATGGCAACTGACAGCCGTAGGCGCTCGTGGGGTGAACTGCAATTCCTGGCAACCCCTCTCCCCTCTCGCTCTTGGCACATGCTGTTCCCTATGCATGGAATTCCCTTTTTTTAAAAAAAAAATTAATGAAAATTTACAGAGACTTAGGGTTTCCATTCATTCATTGTTGCACTTTTCTCCCTGCCCACTCCTTCTCCCCCAATTCATTCTTCTCTTTGAAAAGTAAAAAAAACCCCTCTTTCATTGTTATGCAATCCTTCCCCCCCAAGTCCACTCCACAGTGCACCCTCATTCTGGACTCCTGTCGTGACAATAATACACAATCATAGATCCCTTTTAAACAGTTCTCTCCCTCATCTGTGTCAATGCAGTAAACATCATTCCTCCCCTCCTTCTCTGTCTTTCCTCAACTCCAGTGTCAGTCCCGTTTTAAAACAGTGGCCCTATGCAATATTTGTCCTTTAGTGACTGAGATATTTCACTCAGTATAATGTCCTCCAGGGTTACCCATTTTGTATAATATTTCTTTCATGAGTTTTTTGTTTTTCAATGCTGCATAGTATCGCATTGTGTGAATATACCAGAGCTTCTCTATCCATTCGTTTGTTGATAGGCACTTGGATTGTTTCCAGCTCTTTGCTATTGCGAACAAAGCCGTAATAAACATGGGTGTGCATATATCTCCTTCGGTGGTGGTTATGGTTTCTTTAGGGTAAATTCGCAGTAATGGAATTGCTGGGTCAAATGGTATTTCTATTTACAACTTTTTGAGAAAGTACCATACAGCCTTCCATAGTGGTTGCACCATTTTAACACTCCCACAAACAGTGAATAAGGGTTCCAGTTTCTCCACAACCTCGCCAGCAATTGATGTTTCCTGTTCTGTTAAATTTTGCTATTCTTACTGGGATGAAATGATATCTCATAGTTGTTTTGATTTGTGTCTCTCTTCGAGCTAGGGATTTTGAATATTTCTTCATGTGCTTTTTGGCCAGGAATTCCCTTTCCTGCTGTCTTTTGCCTCTTTTACGCCTCACTGTCCTTCAGGTCTCAGATCAGATGTCCCTTCTTCCAGAAAGCCCTCCCTGATTGACACTCTTGTTCTAACCCTGCTTGTGTGTGCGAGTCTGGCTTCACAATGGACTGAGAGTCCTGGGAGGGCACAGCTGGGGCTGTGTGTGTCACCACCTAAGTGGGGGTTTGTAGCATCCTACGCGACCATGTCTTCAAGACTCCATGCTTTCTTGTCACTCTGATTGTGTCTTTTTTTTTTCTTTCTTTCCAGAAAGACCCTCAGCAGGCCCTGAAGGAGCTGGCTAAGATGTGCATCCTGGCCGACTGCACCCTGATGCTTGCCTGGAGGTGAGATGAAGACCCCTCCTCCCCCAGTTCAGCGCTGTCACGAATCACAACTCCTTCTCCTTCCATCAACTCCCTGTGTGAACCTGGGCCAGGTACTGCCTCTCTCTGAGCCTCCATTTCCTCATCTGTAAAATGGGGTCACAAGAGCTCTCTTAGGGAGCCCCTGAGTGGCACCAGCCATCAAGCACTCAGCTGTTAACAGAAAGGTGGGCAGTTCAGAGCCACCCAGAGCTTCCTTAGAAGAAAGACCTGGTGATCTGCTTTCAAAAAGTCACACACCTGCTTTACTGAGTCAGAACCGAGGAAGGTCAAAAAGCAGGAAGTAGATGAAATCCCCAGGCCGGTACAAGAGCACCAGTGAGTCGTGACTGAATCGGGTTGAATAATGAATGCTTCCTCTAGAGTTTGAAAGACCATTTAGTTTAGTTTGATGGGGGGTTTTTTTGCGGGGGGGCGGGAAATATATCCACCCCTTACACCATAGGTGAAATGCAATTGTAGAGTTGAGCTTTAAAACAAAAAGAAACTCAAAACTCATGGCTGTCAAGTCAACACTGACTCCTCTCACCTTCCACTGGGTTTCTGAAGCTGTAAACTGTTGGCAGTGCAACTCCCTACTGACTTCGCCCTATGGTAAGAAAAGCTACAATTCAGGTTTAGAAGAAACCTGGGAGACTATTTTTTATAATCACAGAGTAGGAAAGATCTTCCAAAGATACTTAAGGCAGAATCCATAAAGGAAAATGACTGATATGTGAGAACTTTTTTTTTTTTAATTTTTGTGTGAGTGTACCGTCAAATCAGATCTGACTGGTACAGGAGGAGATTGTCCCTCCTTTTCCCGGCAGAGCATCTGGTGGATTCGAACCGTGCCTCTGGGATTGTAGTTGCAGCTCCTTGCCACTAGGCCACTAGAGCTCCCCTTGATAGGTGAGAACTTTAACATTTAAAATATCTAGGTGGTAAGAAAGGAGCCCTGGTGGGGCAGTGGTTAAATCATACGATTCCCAACCCAAAGGTTAGTGGTTCAAACTCACTGACCACCTCTTGGGAGAGCACTGTGACAGTCTGCTTCTGTAAAAATAATAACCTCATAAGCTTTATGTGTTGTCAAAGTGACCTGTGAACAACAGGTCTGAACCCTGTCCTATCCTCACAATCTCTGACACACCAGAGCCCTTTGCTGTAGTCTCTGTGTCAATCTCCTCTGCCGTCCCTTCACATTTCCAAGCCTGATGTCCTTCTCCAAGGAATAGCCTCTCCTAGCAACACACCCAAAGGATGTGAGATGACTCTTCACCACGGGGCAGCTCTGTTCTGCCCTGGTAGTTCTATTTATGAGTCAGAATTGACACAACAGCACAAAGCAACAACAGTGCCACTCAGGCAGGAAGGGGACCTTGTCTGAACTCTCATTAGCCAGAAAAGAGATGCACCGAGGCCAGCAGAGGTGACCCTGGCCACATGTAGCAGGAGGGAGGGCTGAGGATGTGCGTTTTTCAATACCTTAATCAGGAACTTGTAGCACCTGCAGTTAGGACGCTAAGTGACTGACCCATGTCCTCTCGCCCCAGCCCTGAGGAGGCTGGGCGGTACCTGGAGACGTACAAGGCCTATGAGCAGAAGCCGGCGGACCTGCTGATGGAGAAGCTGGAGCAGGACTTCGTCTCGCGGGTGAGGCTGCCCTACCCCTTTCTACGGCTGCCCAGTGCCTTTAACAGACGGCCCAGCTTCCCAGCCGCACTTAGCCATGTCTAGGAAGAGTCTGCTTATATAGTTAATTAAACACCTGACAGCTAAGCAGATGTGGCAGGTGGAAGCCCACCCAGAGAGGCCCCTTGAGAGAAGGAAGGTGTTACACTTCCGAAAGGTCTAGCCTTTAGAAACCCTAAAGGGCGCAGTTCTAATTTGCACACATGGTGTTGCCTGAAGTCAGGATCAAAGACAGCTGGCATCTGTCTGTTGTTGTTGTTAAGTGCCATCGAGTTGTAGATGACTCATAGCAACCCTATGGACGAAAGACCTGGACACCTGTATAACTTTAGTTTCTCCATGTTCATAAGAGTTTCTGGAGAAAAGCTATTATGACGGAAGTGGATGCCACTCTTGCTTCCAAGCTTGTTTTAATCAGTGAGCTTCATCAAACACTGTCCACCATGGGTAACCATTCTTGCCTTTGACACATCAGTGTCAGTGTTTAGCATCACAGCAACCACGAGTTACCTCTGTACCGCAAATGGACAGACCAGTGGCATCTGTCTGTCTGCCCGATTCTCCCCAGTGCCCTTGTAGCCTCAGGTTACAGTGACTTTCCATGCTTATCTCGCTCCATTTTAGCATTTACCCATTGTTTCCTCTGCCCCATTTCATTGCCTCTGCCTCCTCCTCCAGGAAGCCCTCTGTGACCTCGGGTAGGCCAGGTTTTCCCCTCTGAATCCCAGTCCCAGCCTTGTCCACCTCACTGTCTTCCCCACTGGACTGTTAGCTACTGCTCTGTCCTTGCTGAGTGACCTGTTGAATCTGGACTCTAGTGACAGTCACAGTGAGGGGCGCTGCACTCATGGGTTTCCTGGGGGCCACTCCAGGAGGCACTGACATGACAGCCTGACACCATCAGCTCAGAATTAACAATCCATCAGTCCCAAAGCCTCAGGCCTGGAAAAGGGGGGACTCATTCAGTGTCATCCAGCTGGCAACTTCCAGTGCGGGGGATTGAACCAGGGCCATCACGCACACGATTCATAGTGGCCCTCATGTGATTTGACATTGCCCACTGTGAGCAAGGCAGCCTTCTCAGTGTACTTCAGTGGATGCCCATAGCCACCTTCTCTCAGGATAACCGGAAGGTCAGAGGTTCAAGACCACCTAGGGTGTCTCGGCAGAAAGGCCTGGCAACCAGACCTTGGGGGGTTTTGCCCCCAAAGTGGAGGCCCAGGGGAGCTGGCTTCCATGCTTCTGCATCTTACACATTAGGGCCTGGTTGGGAACCCAGGTCTGACCCAGACGTCAGCATCCCCTGGGCGGAAATCAGCCTAGTGGGCTATCTTCTCACATAACACATACCCCCCTCTGGTAGTTGGGGCTCAGGGGATCCCTGAGATGACTGTTTCATTAGCTTTATTGGTTTTTTTATTTTAAATAATGATTTTTTCCCATTGTACATAAGTAGCTTTCTAAAAAAATTATTTCTTGATTATATTATTTTTGTGTGTGTACCATCGAATCGTATCCAACTGGTACAGAAGACTGTCCCTCCTTCTCCAGCAGAACATCTGGTGGATTCGAACCACATAATTAGCTTTTTTAAAAAAGCTTTTCCTTGCATTCAGATCTTGCTATCCACACAAATATTAATGCAGCCAGAAAGTATCTTGGGATCATAGTACTGGTCTAGTGTTGTCTCTGGACACATTTACCACTGGCCAGCCTCCAAATTCCCACACAACCTTGCAAGTTAGAGTTATAACTTGTGGAAGTTAATATAAGAAATCAAATCATTTACTACATCTTTTTTTTCTTTTCATTTTATTTATATTATTAAAAAGAATTTAAAAAAAGCTTTTCTTGGGTACCTTCTGCATGCTGGGGACCCCAACAGAGAGCCAGCCCTGACTCCCACTCCCTGCTCCAACCACCTGTCCCCTCACCCTCAGGTGACTGAGTGCCTGACCACCGTGAAGTCCGTCAACAAAACGGACAGTCAGACCCTCCTGGCCACTTTTGGGGTAAGAAGCGGCTCCCTGGCGCTGGGGTATCTTTTACTCCTGGTCTTCTCACAGAAGGCTTCCTTCTCGCCAGCCCCTGTCCTCCCCCTCCCTTGACCAGATCAGTGGGGGGCGGTGGCAGGGTAGTTTTCTGTTCCCCCCTCTGACCCCTCACTCCCCACTTCCTCAGTCTCTGGAACAGCTCATTGCTGCATCAAGGGAAGATCTGGCTTTGTGTCCAGGCCTGGGGCCCCAGAAGGTAAGAACGCTGGGAAGGGGCTCAAGAGGGAACCCCAAAACCACCGCTGCTGGGTCGACTCCCCCCTAGTCACCCACCCTCTAGGGCAGAGCAGCACCACTTGTTAGCGTTCCCAGGGCTGTGGTCCCCCGCCTCTTCAGCTCGCTCCCGCGGACCCACTGGTCAGTTTGAACTTGAACTGCCAACCTTTCAGTTTGCAGCCCAGTGCTCATGTAACCTACTGCACCTCCATCCAACCATGGCCAGAGAGTCCATGGCGAGGCATACTGACCCTACAGGACAGAGTGGTTAGACTCAGACTACCTGTCTTTGAAGGTGAGAGCTCTGGTGGCCTAGCGGCAAGAAGCTGCGCTGCAATCCCAAAAGCACGCAGTTCAAGGCCACCAGCTGCTCCGTGGGAGGCTGGGCAGTCTTTTCCCATGTGATTAACTGCTTCTGAAAACCCATTGGAGGGCCAGCAAGGGTGAGTTTCGACTCACAACAACCACCTTTGAGGGTAGCAGCACAGTGCTTAATCTGTCGTGTGACCAGGGAAACCCTCTGCTGTTGGTTCTGTGTAGTGACCCTCCACTGGGTTTCTGGTGGTTTGAATCCACCGGCAGCTCCACGGGGAAAGCTGGGCACGCGCCTCCCATGTGATTTCGTGACAGAAATCTGCTGGAGGCTCAGCTGTGCCTTGGTTCTGAGCCCGGTGGTGTCAGGCTGTCATATGAGTGCCTCCTGGAGTGGCCCCCAGGAACAATGATAACAGTGAGTTATGATTAGATCCCTAGGTCCTAAGGTTCTAGAAGGTCCAGCGTACCCCTACTACAGAAGGGTAAAACTGAGGCCTGGTGGGTAAGGGCGGGGGGCTCAGAGCCAGACTCCAAAGCCCCCTTCTAGCTGGAGGAAATAATGGTGCCAATATAAACATCCCCACTCCAGAAGTGCCAAGCAAATGGCCAGTTTAATGACCGAGTTCTCATCTCTCTCCCTTGCAGGCCCGGAGGCTCTATGATGTCTTACACGAGCCCTTCTTGAAGGCGCCCCCCTGACCCCTGCTGCCAAGGATGCCCCCAGGGGTCAGAATAAAGCATTTCTCTTGTAGGCTCCTGCTGCTTTTGGTTGGTGCAAGTGGGGGGCGGGGGGGGGGGCGTCCACCCTGGTTCTGACCTTCTGATCCAGGTTGCAGTCCTCAGTTCCCCCGGAGGGAGACTAGACAGGGTCCTGCTGCAGGTGTTTCTTCCGCTTCTTCTGCCGCTTTCCCACGGCCCCCTCCCCAGGATCCACATTCAGGAGCAAAGCATCCTGATGCAGCCCCCCACTCTCCGAGTCCCGCCTCTTCTTGGTGGAGGCAGGAGTTTCCTGGGGCTCAGTCTCAGCTTCATCATGCACCCCTGGGGGGCCGGTCACCTCACTCCCTGGCTCTGTCACTAAGGGCCCCCTTTCCTTCTTTCTCTTCTTGGTGGAGGCAGGAGTTTCCTGGGGCTCAGGCTCGGCTTCATCATGCACCCCTGGGGGGCCGGTCACCTCACTCCCCGGCTCTGTCACTAAGGGCCCCCTTTCCTTCTTTCTCTTCTTGGTGGAGGCAGGAGTTTCCTGGGGCTCAGGTTCGGCTTCATCATGCACCCCTGGGGGGCCGGTCACCTCACTCCCCGGCTCTGTCACTAAGGACCCCCTTTCCTTCTTTCTCTTCTTGGTGGAGGCAGGAGTTTCCTGGGGCTCAGGCTGGGCTTCATCATGCACCCCTGGGGGGCCGGTCACCTCACTCCCTGGCTCTGTCACTAAGGGCCCCCTTTCTTTCTTTCTCTTCTTGGTGGAGGCAGGAGTTTCCTGGGGCTCAGGCTGGGCTTCATCATGCACCCCTGGGGGGCCGGTCACCTCACTCCCCGGCTCTGTCACTAAGGGCCCCCTTTCCTTCTTTCTCTTCTTGGTGGCGGCTGGAGCTGCCTGAGGCTCCGTGTTACCTGGCAGCCCAGGGTCCATCGCCTCAGCCGGTGCCTCTGCCCCTGGCTCCAGCATCGACTGCTGCCACTTCTCTTTCTTCTTCTTCTTTTTGGTCCACACCAGCGCTGCCTCGTCGCCTGGCAGCTCAGGCTCGGGTCCCTCCTCCTGGACACGTCTCCCCTCCATCTCCACAGTCTCGGGAACTGGCTCTCCTCCACCTCCACAGCCTTGGGAATCGGTCATCTCTTTATGCCTCTTTTCTTTCTTCCTCTTCTTCACAGAGGGAAGCGGGAGGGCTTCGTCTTGAGGCTCGACCTTCACCTGTAGAGGAGACGTGCCTCCTGTCCCCTCCACGGGCTCTGTCACTTCCGCCCCCTTCTGCATTTTCCTCTTGGTGGGGGATAGCGCTGTCTCTTCCTGAGGCTCTGCCTGAACCCCAGGTTCTGACTTCACCGGCTTTACATCTGGCTCGGGCAGCCCCATGTACAGTTCGCTCACTTCTGTTCCTCTGAGCTTCTTCTTCTTCTTCTTCTTGGTCGTGGACAGGCTGGGCACCCCCACAGCCTCTGGCACCTCACCCGGGGGCTCTATTGCCAGGGGCTCCACCCCCTCTGGTTGCTCCGGGGACCCCAAGTTTGTGTTCACCTCCTGAGCTCCATTCCCATTCACTGGTTCCCAAGGGACTGAAGCCTCAGGCACCTGTCTCTTCTTTTTCTTCTTCCCAGAGGCTGGCTTTTTAGGGGACAAAGCTGACCCAGGTCCCGTGACTGGGGGGCTGCCCGCAAAGGCACAGAACCGAGGCTTCAGGCCAGGGGGGATCTGGGGTGGGAGACTGGCCGGAATGGGTTGTAGAGTGGTCCCAGGCAAGGAATTCTGGAGACCCTCGAAGATCCTTAGGCTGCCCTGGGGGGTGGGCGCACAGGTCAGTCCTCCATCTGCCTGGACTGAGGGGGCCAGCAGGGTGGCTTCTCCCATCTGGGGGCCGCTGGTGCTGAGGACCCGGTAGCGGTGCCGCTTGCCTGCCACCTTTCCCTTCACAATCTGGGAGCCACACAGAGGAACGAGTCGCCCATCGAGGCTGCAGGGAGGAAAGAGGAAAAGCAGTGCCTAAAATAGGTTATTTTTGTGGGGGGAGGGCGGGATGAGAACAGAGCTCAGAAGCAGTATGCATTCCTAGCTTGCACGGGAACGCCCCTCTAAGGTACCCCCCCCCCCCCATCTCAGCTTCTGGGATGAGAGTATTTCCAGGATCTCTCACCAGTTTGGGGTGAAGTCCGCAGGGGTCCGGATGAGCCACAGTTCCGTATCTGGGGCCATCAATGTCTCCAAAGACAGCCGAGGAGGCTCTGAGGCCGGGGGCATCGCAGCAAAGTTGGGTGGACAAGAGAAGCGAGCAGCACCTGCGCGAGATGATGTGACCTGTTGTCACTTTCGTGCTGTCTGTGTCTGCTTCCCCGAGGGCTCCTCTCGGCCCATGGGCCCCCAAGTCTTGAGTACTACCATCTTAATCATCTCTTTTCCCATCTAACTGCTCGCCTGTCACCCAGTGATGCCTCTATTCCCACCGTCCAAGCTCCTGGAAACGCCTGTCTCATCGCTGATATTGTCCCCAAAGTTACCTGTTCTTGCGAGCCTTCCTAGAGATAAGCTGTCTCCGCCGTCAGGTTTCCGGAAACAGCTTTGCCCATCTAAACACTCCCTGATGCCCTTTTCCCTCCCGCCAGCCCGCCTTCCACGTCCGATCACCTCGCCCCCCTGTTGCTCACCTTCAGAAGCGGGGTCCGCGGGGCCCGCCATCCTGGGATCCATGCCGCTCGCAGATCTAGCGGCTAAAGCCGCCCTTGCCCCGCCGCCGACCACGTGGAACCGAAGGGGTGTGGCCTTTCCTGGAAGCGCCCACGAGGCTTAGCCTCAGGGGGTGTCTCTCCGAGCCTCCTGGTTCCATGAGTATTGCTGAGGGACATTTTCAATTAGTCACCGCAGAAAACTGAGGGAATTGACTCTTCTGGAAAATTACCTCCCCGAAAGCACTTGATTCGCTTGTCAGTGGAAGTCCGACTCGCAATCCCGGTACGTTCCACCCCCACGGTCTCTCACACATGGTTTGCCCCAATGTCGCCTTAAAGGGGCAGCTACACTGCTAAGCCTTAACTTTTAAAGAGACTAGAAGACCGATTGGATTGGAGTCTTAAGAGGTAAACGAGCCCCTGGTTAGAGGATCGGTGCTTCCAATGTTAGAATATCTTCGAGGAGATTGAGATGCCTTGGAAATTCAGGATCTGGGCGGGACAGAACGGTGGGAAAATTAAAGCAAAGGGGAATAAAGGAATGGGGCGTAAAGTTCTAGCCAGGGGCGGGGCCTCCAGGCTCCAAGGAGCGGGAAACGCCGCGGGGGTGGGCGGGACTGCGTGCGAAGAAGGCGGGATCGGGGCGGGGCCTGGAGCTCGGGGGCGGGGCCTCTGGGCCTGGGTGCTGGACGCGCGTGGAGCTGTGCAGTTGAGGCACAGGGCTTGAGGGTCAAATGAGAGAGGTAGATGTCTCTTGGAATTTAGTCTCAAACGTGGGGGACATCACCGGCGGTTTTGGGGTGAAGGGGTGGAAGCCTTGATTACCGCCCTCTGCTGGCGGGTGTAAACAGCGCCTCGTGGCCCGAGTCTGGGGGAGGTGCCCACGCCCCTTCCCACGGGTACCTGGCTGCGTGGGGCAGCGGGCGGAGCCGCGGGAAGGTGACTAGACAGGGTGACCCGACTGCATTCCTGATCGGTGTGTCAGCGCGCTCCCCCGCCCCCTCGGCGGAGATTTCGTATCCTCCTCTAGAATGGGGGTGCCCCTCCTCTTCACTTGGGCCAGAAAGGATTCCCAGAGCGCAGGGAGCGTCAAGAGAAGGGGAAGGGCTCCCTCTGCCCGGCACCTTCAGATTGTTCCTGCGCGTGGGCGAGACACCGGGGCGCTACCCCTGCGGACTCTGGGACTACAACTCCCAAGGGGCTCGCGGCGGGCGCGCCCTACATCCGTCGTGGGCGCTCCTGGGAATTGTAGTCCCAGCTTCTCATTCTGGTCTCCGCTGCTGCGCGCTCCAACCCACCTTTCCCCACCTCTCTTCCACTTTTATCGACGGGGAAACTGATACTCAAAGGCCCAAGAGGTTACTGATTTATGCAGGCTGCTTTTTCGCTGTAGAGGCAGGACACGTGAGATTCCCGCAGTCTCCAACTTTCTATCCCTTTGGTGGCGCTGAAAGTTTTGCTCAGAAAGGATGAAATTGCCCGGCTCAGGTCTGGGGCCGGGAGGTTAGGGAGTGTACCTGCTGCAGAGACAGGAAATAGGACACTGTACTCCTGTCTGCCTGACCAGATCACTCTTCCGACCTCTGGGCCTCGCCCTTCCTGTCTGTGAAATGGACTGTAGCTGAATTTAAAGGGATTCGTCTCAGTCTGGGATCTATCCCTCTGGGACTACAAGTCCCAAGGTGCTCGAGGTGGACCCCGGCTCCCCCTCTTCTCCCGGACCCTCCTCCCGCCGGCCCGAGTTTCGTCGTCTAACCTGTTCCCGGCTCCCGCCCCGCCCCGTCCCGTCCTCGGCTCCCCGAAGCCAGAGCCGGAGCCAGAGGAAGCCCCCCCGGTGCCAGGATCCACCCGGACCCGTGAGTTCCTCTCCCCTGGGGTCCAGCGGCCCGAGAGATGCCAGACGCTCGGAGTCCTTGGGAGGGCTGGGAGGAGACTCGGACTCCGGGTCCCGGGACAGAATTAGGGGTACGCAGACGCCAAGTCCCTGGAAGAACGCACACGCCTGGCTTACGGGGTGGAAGCAAAGGGGAGCCTGGATGCCTGCATTATCGGTGTTGGCCTCATGCGCCTTGGTGCCTGGGAGACTTTGGAGGTGGGATTCCTGAGCCCCAGTACTGGGTGGGCGCTCGGAAGCCTGAGTCTCCGGGCAGAATTAGGGTCCTGGATCCCAGGACCTTGCTCAGAATGGGAGACTCAGATCCCTGGGACCCTACGATGGGCGGCCCTCCCTCCATGCCTTCTCTCTTGAATGTCCAGATGTCCGGTCAGAATTCGGGGTGGGGTGAAAAGAGTGGAAGACCTGGGTCTCTGAAATGCAGCGGGAAAAGGACCCAGGGTCCCTCCGCAGCCTGTGCCTTAACGTTCCCCTCGTTTCTCGGCCCAGGGGTGGGGTGTGGGAGAAGTCGAAGCAACTCTCCAAGCACCCCTGTGCCGCTGCGCGAACCCCAACATGTCATTATCTCAGGCGTCAGACCTGCCTAACCAGAGCAGGGACCGCGGCCCCACGGCGCCCCCTAGCGGGCGCCTCCGGCTGCCCTACGGCGGGGAGGGGGGACACGTCTGAGGTTGGCAGGGGGCGTTCCAGAACCCAGGGCCCAATTCCAGAACTCTGGAGTCAGAGCTCCTGTGGCTGGGCACGCGCACATTCCACCGAGAGCAAAGGGTAAACTGAGGCTTTTAGCAGCCACACAGGGGTTTGGTGTGTCCTGCGTTTTGCATCTCGGTGGTGGCCAGGACACCTCCCATGCCCACCAGGGTTTTCTGACTAATCACCTCTCCCTCCTGTCCCAGAGGTGCCAAATGTCACCTCCAACAGACTGTGTCTGACCTGAGGTAGCGTGGGAGATAAGGGAGGGACAGAGGCTAATTCTGGAAGTGTCTAATTGTCCTTGAGGCTGGAGGAGGGCAGGGCTAGGCACTGCTCTGTCTTCCCCTTCCCTCCTCCCCCAACCCCGTGTGTCACAGGGGATGAAGCAGGAGGGTGGAGGAAGCAGCGGGAGGTTCAGATGAGAGAGCGCACTTCCTAGTGTCTGGGCTTGAAGGGCAGTTGGTAACAGCCTGTGATGAAATGAAAAATAATAACTGTGGCTGCCAACCCAGAGCTCAGGGGTGTGCCAGGCTCTGGGCTGGCCTCGGCTCTAGTGAGGTAGACAGGATAGTCCCCACTGTCCACAGAGGCAGTGTCTCAGGCACCTACCTGTCCATGTGTCACCATGAAGGAAGTTTACCTGTCCTAAGAACTGACTCCTCCCAGCTCTGGGGTGGGGGTGGGGGAACTGAGGCCAGAGAGTCTGGGCTTCTGCTTCCCTCGCTCTGGGACGTTACAGGGGTCTCCTAGGCCCTGTGTCTCAGCTATTGGAGTAGGGGGAGGAGATCACTGGCCAGAACTCAGGATGGTTCAGGACGAAGAAGGGCGGTCGGATCCCAGGACTCAAGTGGAAGAGACATAGGGGGTCGAAACTCGGGTCTTTTAGAATTTCAGAGAAAGGTAGACGAGACCTCATTCAGTGCCAAGCCTTGTGTATGAGCTTATTGAACAAGCAGGAGAGGCCTAATTACTCGTCTTGCATCTGTGAGCTTGGAGAAGTCCTGGTGGCACTGAAGTAGGGTACTCACCTGCTAATCTGTGAGAACCCACCAGCTGCTCTGAGGGAGAAAGATGTGGCAGTCCACTTTTGTAAAGATTTAACCTACTGCCGTTGAAGGAATTCTGATTTGCACAGACCCTTCATTGGGTTGTCCAGGCTGTCAGGCTTTATGGAGAAGACAGTACACCTTTCTCTCTTGGAGAGGCTGGTGGGTCCGAACAGCCAACCTTTAGGACAGTAGCACACCTCTTAACGCACCAAGCCACCAGGGTTCCTTTTCAGACAGACTGACAGCCTCCAGAGACCTATGGGGCAATTCTACTCTGTCCTATATGGATGGTGGCTACGAGCTGGAATCAAATGAACAAGTGGCATGGGCTTTATTTCTCACGTGTGAGCTTTATTTCACACCCTGCACTGTTCTAAAACCCAATTCGTAAATCCGCACAAATCCTTTGAGGTGAGGGGATGATTCCCCCATTCTCTTAGGTGGAGGCTGAGGCACTGAGAAGCTAAAACACTAAAAGGGCAGGTCCTCGTCCCTTCTGCAGACGCCCCACGGATGACCACAGACGGTTAACCTAGTCCTAGGGAGGGCGGGGCCTGTCGCAGGGCCAGAGTGTCCCATCGGAGCTGTAGGTGCGCAGTGCTCCGGGCTCAGCCAGCTGCTCTGACGCGGTTCCTCCCGAGGATGATTCCTCCAGGAAGACCTCGGGAACGTTAAGCCCAAAGAACCTGTCTGGGGTGCAGGAGAGACGAGGAAAGGAGAGGTGGAGAGGGGTCAACATGAGAAGGTGGAGGGGAGCCCGAAGGAGGGAACCTGGGGGTAGGGAGGGTTTGGAGAGGTGCTGGGGAGGTGCGGGAGGAGGGAGAATTGGGGTTGGAAGGGCGCCCGGGGGAGGTGAGCCGGAGGTAGAGGGCTGGGGTCGGGCCTGCGAGCAGAGGCGCGGCCCGCGCCGCCCCCGCGCTCCGCCTGCCTCCGCTCCCAGCCACCGGCCGTGCTCACCTGCCCAGGCCCGCAGCGCATTCCAGGGCCCTGAGCTCAGCCGTCTGCGCGCTCCGCCGGGGTCGGGCCGTGACCCGGGGGCGCCCCCTGTTGGCCTGGACACTCCCTCCGCGCGCGCGAGCCTCGTCCAGCGCTCTCTTCTAGGGCATTTCCTTAGAGCCAGAGAATGGCAAATCTGGAATCTGAGAATCTTCAAATTTTGAGAATCATGAGCTAGCCGGCATGGTGGCATTGGCCGCTGTATAACTAGCTCGGTCACTCATTGCCAGTTGAGTCACAAACTCGTAACTGACCCTTCATTGGGCTTAGGCTGTAAATAGCACGAGTGGACATTGTATTTCTGCTGGTCTTTTTTAATCACCAGAGACGCGCAACCTTTGGGTGAGCAGCGCAGCTCCGTACTGACCACCCCACCGGAACTCCCTGGAGCCTGCACAAAGGTGCTCATTTTGCTATTTTAACAGAGTTCTCTGAGAAGCTAAAAGCTTTACTTCCCCGCTCCCCACTATTTTCTGATGCCGCCGTTGTGAGAACCTTGAGTTCTTCCTATACCTTCTGGCCAGTCGGGTCTCCGCAGAAGTCCTGTGAAGTACACCGCTGCTTTTCTTCACACGACAGATCAGGGAGCTGAGACACAGAGGGTCTGCCTCTTGCTAAGGTTGAAAGGTGGTGTGGCCAGATTTGAACCTGTGCAGTCTGACTCCCTTGCAGTCTGCTCCCTATCGTACTGACCGCACGATAACATCTAGACTTCACTGGAATCTTGGAAGAGATAGAGGATGATACAGAAAGACTTAGGACTCTGGGGTATCTAAGCCAGGAGATTCTACTGTTGCTACGTCCCGTGGAGTGGACTTGGACTCACACTCGTGTGCAGTAGCTGGAAACCTTGCTCTGCCCTGTGCCATTCTCAGTCTCGCCATGTTTAAGCCCTCTGTGGGAGTCACTGTGTCCACTCGTCTCTTTGAGGGTCCTCTTCCCTTTCTCTGGCCCTCCACCTATCCAAACATGATGTCCTTCTCTGAGGACTGGCCCCTACTGACAAAATGCCGGAAGTATGTGAGATGATTTTAGCCTGTTCCAAAGATAGAATGTGGGACACAGCACTTTCCAACAATAGAAACGTAAGCTGAGGATTTTAAGCTCTGTAGAACTTTAATTGGGCATCCCTGGGTGGCATAAATGGTTTGCTGGTGACTGTTAACCTCAAGGATGGAGGGCTGACTGAACTCACTCAGCTATGCAGTGGAAGAAAGGGCTGGCGACCTGCTTCCTGAAATACTACAGGCAAGAAAGCTCTACGGTGCAGTTTTACTCTGTGCCACATCGGGTGGGTGGCTGTGAGACGGCATTTGGATGGGTGTTGTTGGTTTTTTTCCTTTTCTTTGGAACTTTCATTGAAATCTCAAAGGTCTTCCAGGTAAAGAATCGAGGTCTGATAGAGATTGAAGGAGCCTCTGTGAAGAGCTCGTTGGCCCTCCTTTCACTGACAGGGAAACTGAGGCCTAAGAGACAGGGACTCCTTGTCCAAGGTCACACACTCCCAACACACCCAGAAGAGCCACCAGTCTCAACAAGTTCTGCTCCCTCAGCTTCCCAGACAGGGGGCCAGTGTCAGCATGCCCGGCCCGCCCTGTGCCTACGCCTGCCTGCATCGCCAAAGCTAAGCGGTCTGCGTGGCTCGGAGGTAGCAGCGCTGACGGGTGGGGTGCTGGCCTGACCGGTTCCTGCTGGCCTGGTCCCCTGCCACGAGGCCGGTGACCACAGCCACCTCCCCATTCCCACTGCCATGACTGGATTAGTGTTTGGGGTTGCGCTGGGAATCCAGAGGTGGAGCTTCTCTGGCAATACACATCCACCAGCAGCTCCCTGGCGGAGTCTCCTTCAAGGTGATTTCCAACCTCCAAAAGCCCGCTGCAGGATCAGCATTTAGTGCGTTCCTGGGTAGAAATGCTGGGAAGAGGAAATGGAATAGCCCCTGCTTTCAGGGATCACCCCAGTTTGATTGAGAAGACCTGGAATAACAAATAAGACCCGGCGTGCTGGGCAGTACTCTGGCTTCTTCTTCTTCTTTTTTTTTTTTTTTTAATTTTACATTATTTTATTTTTTTGTGTGTACTGTCAAATCGGATCTGACTGGCACAGGAGATTGTCCCTCCTTCTCCAGCAGAGCATCTGATGGAGTCAAACCGTGCGCTTCTGGGTGTACTCTGGCTTCTTGTTGGCTGACCTTAAACACGTTCCTGCGCCTACTAAGGTGGTGTGGAGAGTCCGTGGGTGGTGCAAACAAATGGTGAACGCCAAGAAGCTGCCGTTCATGTCTACCCAGAGGTGCCTTGGAAGAAAGGCCTGGTGATTTACTTAAAAAAAAATCTATCACCAAAATCGCTGTGGAGCGCAGTTCTGTTCTGACACATGGATTCCCTGAGTTAGACTTGACTCACTTAATTGTTGGCAACTGTTCTGTTTCTTTTTATAAGAGGCTTTGACCACTGAGTGAAGAATCAAGTGCCAAGGACTTAGCACCATTCTTTGAGGTTGCAGGGCTTCAGTGAATGATGGTTGTTTTGGATACCTGGCATCCTGGTAACTGGCACAGGCCCTGGCACTGAACTCATTGTCCTTGAGTCAGAAGTGACTCGTAGCTGACCCTCTGAGGCTAAGAAATTGCAGAGGAGGAGGCTGCCTGTTTTTCTCTTGTGGAGCAACTGGTGGATTTGAACCACTTACCTCTGGATTGGCAGTGCATCTCTTTACCCACTGGGCCATTGAGCTTCACTGGCACACAGACAGCATAATTATTACTTTAAAAACCTAACAAGCTATCAAGCCAGCATCTAGCCCACTGGTCCTGGTTAGTAACCAAAACCTCAGTGCTATCCATTCTGATCCAGAGCCACCCTCCAGAGTTTCTGAGGCTGTACGTCAATGAGAGGAGACTGCCCATCTTTCTCCCACAGAGCCACTCGTGGACTCGAACCGTCAGACACGGGTGGCCTGTGATTACCAGCACAGCATGCTATGGACTACACCAAATTAACTGAGGCTCAACAAATCCAGCTGCCCTCAAGTTGGATTCTTCGAGAAGCGTAGAACTGCGCTTTAGGGTTTCCAGATCGGCTCAGGATAGGGCAGGGTTCAGAGCTATTGTTCACAGGATCGCTATGTGTCATAGTTGACTTGATGGCACATAACAGCAGGCTTTATCAGGAGCTCTGGCAGTGTAGTCTGTAGGGAGTTGTGTTGTTAACCCACAGACGACGGCTCTCTCCTAGTCTGGATCCACCAGGAGCTCCTCGAGAGCGGACGGACAGTGTCCTCCTGGGCTATTTACAGCCTCCAAAACCCCCTGGAGGCTGGGGGGTGGCAGTGGCTGGAGCGTGTGTCATCTGCTCTGAGTCAGCTCCGACTCAACGGCAATGACTTTGAGGGTTGTTTTTTTTTTTTTCTTTCAATCTTTACGGGAGGAAAAACTGAGCACTCACCTCCCCTGCGAGTCACTTTCTCGGAAACCCACGGCAGGGTCCAGCTGAGTGGCTTCCGATTCCAGCAGCAATAACTTTGACCTGTGGATCTGCATGGAAGTCAACCGTCACGTCTCTCTTCTGCCGATGGGCTGGGGATGCAAAACACTGGCCTTTCGGTTACTAGCGCAGTGTTTAATCCACTGCACTACCAGGACCCTCAATAATCGATCGCTCTCATTATTACCAAAGCCAACCCCGCTGTCATCCACTTGGTGGCACCGTGTTCCATGTGTCGTGCTGGTAAATAATAATAATTATAATTATTAAGGTGAATAATTGGGGGGAGCTCTGGTGGCCTAGTGGCAAGGAGCTGCAACTACAATCCTAGAGGCGCACGGTTCGAATCCACCAGATGCTCTGCCGGGGAAGGAGGGACAGTCTCCTCCTGTACCAGTCAGATCTGAATTGACGGTACACGCACACAAAAATTAAAAAAAAAATAAATAAAAAAGGTGAATAATTGGAACCCGCGGAAGAAAAATGAGGCCATCAGCTCTGAAGATTTACTGCCTCTGAAGCTGGATGGATGGTCACCATGAGTCGGAATTGACTCCACTATAGTGTTGGGTTTTTTTTTAAATTATTATGATTATTCTATCTTAGGTTCACTATAAGGAGCTCTGGATGTGGCTAACCTAAAAGTTAGAATTAATTTTTTTTTAAAAAAAAATTTAATTTTATTATTTGTGTGTGTACCGTCAAATCAGATCTGACTGGTACAGCAGGAGATTGTCCTTCCTTCTCCAGCAGAGCATCTGGTAGATTTGAACCACACACCTCTGGGATTGCAGTGCAGCTTCTTGCCACTGGTCCACCAGAGCGCCTCAAAGGATAGAATTTCAAAGCCACCCAGATGCTCTTTGAGAGAAAGACCTGTTGATCCACTCCTGTAAAGATTGTTGGGTTTGTGTCATTAAGACGCAGCTGACTCGTAGCTGACCCTCCAGCATTTTTTCAAAGGCAGTATCGACGGGAAGAGATTGCCCATCTTTCTCCTGAAGCAAAGCAATTGGTGGATTCAAACCACGTGCCTTTTGGTTGGCAGCACAGATCTTAACCGCTAGGCCACCTGCGCGCCCTCCTGCAGTAGAGCCTAGAAAATCCTAATAAGGACAGTTCAATTCTATTGCATGGGGGCTCTATGAGTTAAAGTCAACCTGAAGACTTACAAGGTTCGATGAAAACACCTGGCGAATAGTACTTGATAATTGTTGAAGGAATGTGTCCTGTTAAAAACTCTAACTGCCAGTCAAGTCGGAATCCACTGACAGCTGAGCTTCCAGGAGGTTTTCAGGGCAGCTGGATTCAGACTTATGGAGAGGCTCCTCTTTGGGGTTCACTCTTATCTGATAACCCACCGGAGCTCCCTTATGAGAGAGTTGAGATAAAGCGATGGGCAGAAAGCCAAGGTGGAGCTGGGACTTCTAGGTGACAGGTGAACTGGGGCTTGGAAGGATTTGGCGTTTGCTGAGGAAGTGGAGGGTGAGGCGTTGCCATTGGAAACATAAAGGCCCGCAGTTCCCGGGTTCCAGCGGGCAGGGTCTGGGGGGCGGGATCTGAGGAGGCTCCTCCCGACACAGGCGCCCCGCTCCGGCCGGCACCATGGACAGCGAGGCCTTCCAGAGCGCGCGGGACCTTCTGGACCTGAACTTCCAGTGTGAGCAGGGTTCCCAGAGGGCAGGGTCAAGGGGCGGACCTTGCATGGGTGGAACCTTTAAGGGGCCGGGTTTGCAGGGGTGGGGCCGCGGCCCTTGCGGAGGCCCGCCCTGACCTGACCGCTCACGACTCTCCAGCGCTGGCCATGAAGCACATGGACTTGAAGCAAATGGAGCTGGACACAGCGGCGGCCAAGGTGGACGAGCTGACCAAACAGCTAGAGTCGCTGTGGTCAGACACGCCGGCGCCTCCCGGCCCCCAAGCTGGAGCCCCCTCTAGGGTAAGCCCGCTCGCTCGTCTTGGTCCCCGCCCTGGCCTCCAAGGCCAGCGTTCCTCTACGCCCTTGTTTGGAGACCTGGCTTTCAGACAAGGCTGTTGATGCGGTTGTGCAGGTTGTAGGCCTTTCAAAGATCCTTGAGACGATCGGCAGGAGCCCCAGAAGGAAAAGGGCTTCTGTCTCAGCTGCGCAAAACCCCTGAGATGGGGTAGCGTCCATACTTATTTTGGGGCTCTTTCCAGCTGGGGTGTGACTCCCTTGGGCTGATCTTCTATGGGCTTTTTTGACCCTTTACCAACCGCATCACTGTCTCCTTTTGCCTCTCGGTGGCCCGCCTCCCCGCAGCTGTCCCGGTACAGCTCCGGACCCGTCCCAGACCCCTTCAGCAGCCGCGGGTCCTCTCCTCGGAAGGCGGCCACCGACAGCTCAGATGCACCGTTCGGACGGTCCGAGAGCGCCCCATCCCTGCTCCCTTACAGCCAGCTGTCCCCCAAGGGCCGGCCCTCGTCGCCCCGTACCCCGCTCTACCTGCAGCCGGACGCCTACAGCAGCCTGGACCGCGCGCCCTCGCCCCGGCCCCCGCGCGCCTTCGACAGCTCGGGCAGCTCCCTGGGCCGCGCGCCCTCCCCGCGCCCCGGATCGGGCCCGCTGCGCCAGCAGGGTCCCCCCACTCCTTTCGACTTCCTGGGCCGCGCCGGGTCGCCACGGGGCAGCCCCCTGGCAGAGGGACCCCAGGCCTTCTTCCCTGACCGGGGACCCTCGCCACGTCCCCCTTCCTACGAGGCACAGGCGGCCTTCGGGAGCCCTCTGTTGGGTGCCGGCGGTAGCGCCTTCGCGCCCCCTCTGCGAGCTCAAGGTGAGTGTAGGGGGCTCGGGTGTGGGGAGGCGCCCCCCTAATCTCTCCCAACACCCTCACCGGGACCCTCTTCCCAGATGACCTGACGCTGCGCCGGCGGACGCCCAAGGCCTGGAACGAGTCAGACCTGGATGTGGCGTATGAAAAGAAATCTTCACAGACTTCCAGCTACGAGCGTGAGTGCTGGAAGGCTGAGGGGAAGGGTGGGTGCGCAGGGGGAGGGAGGGGACTCCAAGATTTAACAATCTTATTATCTGTCCCCCCTACAGGACTGGATGTCTTCACACGGCCCGCCTCCCCCAGCCTGCAGCTGTTGCCCTGGAGAGAGAGCAGTTTGGATGGGCTAGGGCCCTCTGGCAAGGTGAGGGACCTAGGCTGCTGGGGGTAAGAGTTAGGGGGCAGGGCCAGTCTCTTCTATTCCCCCACCCCACCCTACCCCAGGCCTTCTTTCTGGTGCCCAGTCCCACTTTCCTCCTTCTCACCTGAGTCCCTTTTCTTCTTCCATCTCTCCCTAAGGACAATCTCACCAGCGCCACCTTGCCCCGCAATTACAAAGTGTCCCTTCTAGCCAACGACAGGCGTTCGGATGTAGGCAGCTACCGCCGCTCGCTGGGATCCACGGGGCCAGCAGGCACTTTGCCCCGCAACTGGCAACCTGTCAGCCGCATCCCCATGCCCCCTTCGAGCCCCCAGCCCCGCGGTGCCCCCCGCCACCGCCCCATCCCCCTCAGCATGATATTCAAGCTGCAGAATGCTTTCTGGGAGTATGGGGCCAGCAGGGCCATGCTTCCCGGCTCCCCTATGTTCCCTCGGGCACCCCCACCAAAGCTACCTTCTCAGCCCCAACCACCACCCCAGCCCCAGCTGCACCCCCAGCCTCATCTGCAGCCACAGCCCCACCCACAACCACAACCCCATCCCCAACCGCAGCTCCCGGTCCAGCCACAGCCCCAGGTCCAGCCCCAACCACAGCCCCAACTGCAGCCCCAGTCCCAATCCCCTGCTTCAGGCCCCCAAATTCCCCAACAGACATGGCCCCCTGTGAGTGAAGGTGAGTTAACAGTAAGGACTTCAGAGGACTGGGTTGGGGGGAGGGAAGAGCAGGGAGCAGAAGCGGGTGAGACCAAAGCAGCTTGGGGAGCCATCTCAGGAACCCCTGTCTTTCCTGGCACTGTCCCTTCAGAGAGATAGGTCACCAGCTTGTGGGAGTTTGTTCAAGTGGCAGGGACAGCACAGTGGTTAAGGATGGACTCTGGAGTCAGACTTCCTGGCTCTATGCTGTGTGACCTTGGACAAGTCACTTAACCTCTCTGAGCTTCGATTTCCTTAAGTGCTAATGGAGAATAATGACAGAACCCGTCTGATCAGGATGTTGCATTTGATAATTTTAATCCAAATAAATCCTTAAATACAGCACCTAATCCATGGTGAGTTATCAATAGCCAGCATATTGGTTGTCATAATAATGGATATTGTTGTTTTTTTGTCCAAGATCAGTGGCATTACAAGTCTAGATCCTGCGTTTGCTTCCGGTAGAGTGGATTTGAGCCTTTCCCCACCACTGACGGGCTGTGTGATGCAGGATAAATTTCTTATCCTTGAGCCTCAGTTTTAATTCTCTCATCTCTGAAAAAAACCAACCAGATTGATAGTATCTACCTTGTAGGCTTGTGATGGCAATTTAATGAGATAATGTAAACAGAGTGACTGTGACTAGTGGTAATACTTATTGTGCTCTTCATACAAACAACATTGATAACAATATTAATAGTAGTCATAATTACTGGTAATTGTAATGAGTGTTATAAGGGACCCCCGGGAGTGTGGTGGTTAAACACCTGGCTGTGAACTGAAAGGTTGGCAGTTCAAACTCACCGGTCACTCTGCAGGACCCACAAGAGGCATGGTGGTTCGGTGAGGATTTCCAGCCTTGAGAGCTCAGGCGGTCAGTTCTGCTCTGTCCTGTCGGGTTGCCTGGAGGTGGAGTCAGCTTGACAGCCATGTGTCCGGCTAGTTTGGTTTTACTATTACGCAATACTATTACTTGCATTAATTGCTGGCAGTATTAGTAATGTCGTTAGTATTAATTGGTCATGTTAACTGCCATGAGTCGATTCTGACTCATAATCCCTGTGAACCACAGAACCAGTCGTTGGCTGGTCCTGTGCCATCTGCAGGGTCACTGCCACGCGTGGGACAGTCTTTGCTGAGGCTGTGTCAGGCCACCGCAGTGAGGGTCTTCCTCTCCTGCTGACTCACCACTTTACCAAGCACGCTGTCCTTCCCTCCCTTGATAACACGTCTAAAGAATGCGAAATGAAATCTCACCCTCCTGGCTTCTTCCTGGACAGAGTTATTTCTTCTCCGGCAGTCCATGGTGTATTCAGTATTCTTCAGCATCATGGTTCAAAGGCATCAGTTCTACTTTCTACTTTATTCATTGTTCAGCTTCCACATCCATGTGATGCGGTTGAAAAATAGACCACGATTTGGGTTAGGTGCACTTGAGTCTTCAAAGTGTTGCTTTTGTCGATGGCTGCCGAGTCAAGCACGAGTCATAGCGACCCTATGAACAAAAGGCCTGAAGCCTTTCTATAATTATCATCATTTATCAAAGTTCATAGAGTTTCCAGAGGCATGTTGTTTAGGAAGCGGATGCCACTCCTGCTTCTAAGTGATACTATCAGTAATAATGTACTAAGGACCAGTAGCATTTAATACTAATATCACTCCCTGCATAAGGAGCTCTGGTGGCTGAGTGGCAAGAAACTGCACTGTAATCCCAAAGGCACGTGGTTCAAGGCCACCAGCTGAAGGATGGGCAATCTCCTCTCGTGCAATTAACTGCCTCTGAAAAGTGGCTGGAGAGTCAGCAATAGGGCGATTCTGACTCTATGGCACACAGTAACAACAACAACATCACTCCCTGCACTGAAGCATTTCTAGAGGGGAATAATGAGATGGAGAGGAGAAGCCCTTCAATGACAAGATTCCAGGCCCAGAATTTTCTTAGACTCTTAGAAGCCTGGGTGCTTAGTTGTTGTTATATACTGTCAAGTCGGAACTGACCCGTAGATGACACTCTGGCTGGCTTTCAGAGACGATAAACCACAAGGGAGGAGGTCGCCCGTCTCCAGTGGAGCAGCTGGCGGATTCAAACCTTGTGCCTTTGAGTTGGCTACACGACTCCTTACCACCAAGCCACCGGATCTCCCTTAAGTAGTTGGTGGGAGCCTAGATCCAGGAGTCTGGACTGAGTTCAGCTTCCAGCTCTGTGGCCTTGGTCAGCTGACCTGCCCTTTCAGAAACTCTGTGGTCCTTTCTGTAACGTGATGACAGTGGCGTCTGCCTCACAGGGTCATAGGAAAAGTGAAGGGAGACAGACCTGTCAAATGTCAGGCATATGATAATTAGTAGAGTAACGAAAGATGCCCTAATGTTCTAGTACTCACACTTCAGGAAATTGTAGCTCAGGGCAGGGAACTTCTCCAAGGTCACACAGCAATTCAGATATATTTTGCAGGTCCTGAAAGTGGTTGGTGTGGAGGATGTCTGGGGGGAGGTAGATGTGTTTCCTCTGATGGGCTTCTTGTTCTTGCCAGGCCCCCCTAGGACTCTTGCTGAGGTGGAGCCGGAGCCAGAGCTGGAGGGCCTGCTGACCCCGGTGCTGGAGGCTGGTGATGGGGACGAGGGTGCCCTGACTCGGCCCCTCAGCCCCACGCGGCTGCAGCCAGCGCTGCCCCCTGAGGCACAGTCGGTGCCTGAGCTAGAGGAGGTGGCTCGGGTGCTGGCGGAGATCCCACGGCCCCTCAAACGCCGGGGCTCCATGGAGCAGAGCCCAGCCGTGGCCCTGCCCCCCACCCACAAGAAGCAATACCAGCAGATCATCAGCCGTCTCTTCCACCGCCATGGGCCGGGCCTGGGGGGCCCAGAGTCTGAGCTGTCTGCCATCACAGAGGGCTCTGAGGCCAGGGTGGGACCCCCGGCCCCTGCACCGCCGGCTCCCCTCCCACCGCCGGCCCCACCCCAGAGCAGCCCGCCAGAGCAGCCTCAGAACATGGTAAGTGATTCAGGACGGCACTGTTGTGTCTTAATTAGCATATGGAGCTCGCTGCTTTAACAAAGAGACCCCAGAAAGCTGTGGCTTTTGTGAGTGTGATCGTCCCTGATGGTACAAATGTACTTGGCTACTAATTTAAAACAGCTCCGGTGGCTGAGTGGGTAAGGAGATAATGCTGCCAACCCAAAGGCCAGCAGTTCGAATCTACCAACGTGGCTCTGCAGGAGAAAGATGGGAAATTCCCTCCTGTTTGATTTACAGTCTCAGAAGACTCACTGGATGGAGGGTCAGCTATGAGTCATTTCCAACTCAGCTGCAATGTACAATGTAAAGTTAACATCAGGCACTTTGAATCTATCCAGATGTGCCATGGAAGAAAGGCCTGGCGACCACCAAGCAAACCCTGTGGAGGGAGCAGTTCTATTCTGTAACATGGGGTCACCATCAGTCAGAACTGACACTACAACAGCGGGTTTAATGAGCTAGAAATGTCTCTTTGGGGCACAAGGTTGTACCCAGGAGTCCAAGTCTGGCAAAGGGCTTTTGTAGAGTCAGGACCCAGCCTCTGGCTACTTGAGCTTCCACCATTCTTTGGGGGCTGTCCTGTCCGCAGGCCCATGATGACTCCCACAAATCCTGTGCTCCAGCCAGGACGCAAGAGGAAGGGCTTCTGTGTTAGAGCCCAAACCCACACATATTGCCGTGGGATCAATTTCAACTCAGTCTCCATCAGGTTTCCAGGGCTATGACTCTGTAGCTGGAAGACACTACCCATCTGTCTCCTCCAGAATGGCTGGTAGGTTTGAACCCTAGACCTTGTGGTTATCAACTCAGCAAGTTACACACTAGGCAACCAGGGCTGTTTCAGGGCAGAATCTGGAAAATGTACAGGTCACTTCTTCCTTCAAGCCATCAGCCAGGAGTCTAGCTGCAAGGGGGTATGGAAACAGGGTCTTTCATGGAGGTGTGGTCGCGTAGAGAGGAAGGAGAGAGAATGTGTGCAGAAGGCGTCTGTCTGGACGCTTCTCTGTTCCATCTTTCCAATAACTTGTCCCCTGGACATCACATCTGGACTCAGGCTCATCACCTGAGACACAGAAATAATGGAACCCTGGGTTTATTCTGAGACTTGCAAAACATGCCCAAATCGAGACATCACAGTCTCTTTCAAAGAACCAGATGATCTCCTATCTGCCTTCTGTGGCTCTGATGTCTGTCTAACTTACCTACCTGCCTGTCTAATGAAGGAGACCGCGTGACACAATGTGTTATCTGTTGTGATGCTAACCAAAAGGTCACTGGTTCAAATCCACCAACACCCTTCAGAAAAAAAATGGACGGTCTCCTCCCAGAAAGATTTGCAGCTCGACAGAAGTTGGTTTGGTGGCATAGAGGGCTGACAGTTGAAGGGTTGGCAGTTCTAATACACCAGCCACTCCCTAGGCAAAAAAAGGAGCCAGTCTATTCCCATAAAGATGTAGAGCCTTGGAAACTGGATAGAGAGTCACCACGAGTTGGAATCAAACCAAAAACAGTGAATGTCTCTGAAGGCAGTGAATGTCTCTGAAGTCAGGGAATGTCTAATTATCCACCCATCTACCCACGTAACCACCACCTGTCCATCTACCTATCCATCCACCTATCTATCTATCCATCCATCCATCCATCTATCCATCCACCACCCATCTATCCATCC